TTTGCCGCTGAGCTAAATCCCCAGCCCCTAGCCCACAGTTTGAATGAAGATAAACTTAAAACCTTTGGAGGTGAATTAGGCAGGTGTTCATTATAACATCACTTATTGTGGATTAAATAAGTCCCTACTAATTTAGTATATAATTAAAACTTATTATCATGTTATTGGGTAATTCACAAGTTTGAAATTTCAAAATAGGTCTCTGAACTAAAATCAGTCTTGGCAGGGCTATACTCCTTTTGGGGTACTCTAGGGAAAATAAGTTTTCTGACTTTCTAGCTTTTAGACCTTCTTGCTGAATACCATTGCTCATCACACTGTCCTCTATCTTCAAATCAAGCAGAAGAATCTTCAGATCTCTTGGACTTTAACAATTGTTTTCTCATTGTCACTTATTTCGACCCAGAAAAAATAATGCTAAATGATCCCTCTACCTCAGCTTGTAAACAATTTCACTTGCAAAATAGGTTCCCCTTTGCTTTACAGCTGGATGCATCTTCATATTTAAAAATCAGGGGACCACTACCTGCCAACAATAACTAAAATATGGAGTCATACTGTTGCATCAACAATGTGGAATTTCTAGTGCTTGAAAGGACTAAGACGACAGCAATGTTTAAATCAGCTGCACATGCCATTTTAAAGCACTTTCCTATTGTATTTCCATAACAGCACTAGAAAGCAGTGAGAAAAGCTTGAGTATTTATCAGGGAAATGAATAAGGGAGTAACTGGCATTCAGTATGCAAAGAATTTTCCAAGTTTCAAGATGTATAAGGAACCAGTTCCCAGACACCCAGCCAGCGCTGTTCGTCCTGGGCACGGTAGCTAGTAGTAAATGTTTGGGATGTGCGATCTCCACGCCTCATTCCTGTGTTTTGAATTGATCTTAAGGGACTCGATGCAGTGATTCTCCTTTTAAGTATGCTGGAATTCTGCGTTGCTGTCTCAGTCTCTTCATTTGGATGCAAAGCGATCTGTTGTTACGTTGGTGGGGTGAGTACTGACCTTTGCTTTCTGATGTGTGTAGTAGTTTTCCATCACTGTTTCAACAAGCGCACAAAACACATGGTTATGACCGCTGTTTCTGCAGAAGGGTCCCAGCACAGTCAGCTCAGGCCCCTGCTCAGGGTCTTACGAGGCTGTACCTGTGGAGCTGGCCAGACTGTTGTTTCCTGAACTTTCTTTCTTGTCTTCTATGCTCAGGCCACTGAATCCACTCCCCCTCAGAGGTTGAGGTAATGACAGAAACACCTTTTCTGAGGACAGAAGGACATCAAATATCTTAAAATCATTTGGGTGCTTTTACAGTGTTCACATAACTTTGTCAGGTTCACCCGGGATAATGTCCCCTTGGTGTACTCAAAACCAGCTAATGGGTAACCTACTCACAGGACAGACAATCTGCCATATCCACGGGTCCATCCACACTCAAGAGGAGACAGTCCCAAGAGTTTGTCTCCTTGAAGGTCATTAGAATTATGCCTAACAGAATGACCAAAAGAAGCTGTTTTTTCCTATCTTTGACACACAAAGCTCATCCCTTCTGACTCCAGATCAATGCACAAGTCACATGGAAAGGTTCCCAGACTGGGCCCGCTGGGACTCCATTACCCTACTATGGCAACTATCCCTTGGTTCCTGAAGAGCTGCCAGGTGTCAGTGTCACAAGTTAGACTGACCCACTCTGAGACTCAGCGTCAGCTATCAGCCTTTCAGGCCGACGTCTGTCACTGAAAGTGTGGCCTAAACAGCCTGAGGTAGGGAGAGCCTGAGGAGCTCACCTCATGGGTCCTGAGATTGAATTCAGTCAGGAAGAGTAACGAACACATTAAGTAGGAAGGGGAAACCCTGAGATTATTTGGTCACTTACCTATGGCACTGTGATTGATTTCACAGGTTGTGTTAGTTCTACCATCAAATCCTCAAACGACAGAAGCAGCATGTCCTGCACCACTGGGAGGAGATTCAACGGCTCCAAAAGATCCAGAGAAAACTGTTGATGAGAATGTTCCCTGACTTCAATGCAAAAATTCCCCGTGGAAAACTACCTGAATCCCTCTCTGAAGGATGTGTGTGTGTATGTGTGTGTGTGTGTGTGTATAGATTCAGTTCTCTTGTTTTCCCTGTACTTGACAAATCTTTCCACCCAATCTTAAACAGAATACCAGATAGTAAATAAAATCATGCATTTAATTAGACAACAACACTTGACTGACTCTTATTCATGGTCAGGACTCTACATAAGGGTATTCAGTTGATACAGAAGCTTTGGAAACAAAGGGGTGAAATGGTGTTTCTGAAATGACACTTTGAAGACTCCATACCTGCTCCCTGTCTAGCAGTCCTGTTTGTTTGGCTTCTATGTTTTTAGCCCATGTTTGGAGATTTTAAAATTAAATATATGTTTTTCTCCCATTTTATTTCCTTTCTTTCACAAAAAGTGCAAGGAAGAGCGTAGGCAGTCTTTGTATGCGTGAGTCCTTAAGCATAAACTACTGGGCAGGATTCTATCTTAATACAATATGTATCTAGTGCCATATGCAAGATGGTGTAACACAAGCTATTTACTGTTATAAATGAGGTACATCAGCTTTCCTGTTACAATGCCAAAACAAATTAAATAAATTCAGAAGTGGTATATTCATGTGCTACCTACTTCCCAATCTGATGGAACATCGGAGAAAATATAGTGGTAACAGGAAATATAGGAATGTCATAAAGAATATGGGCTTTCCATCCACCCTGGATTTTTTATTGTGAAAATCACATCTCTGTTACTTGCTGCCTGTATAATCATGAACATAATTTCTCTATGATTCATATTTCTACTCAGTACAAAGGAAAGAAAAGATACCATCAGTCTTACAGAGCTGTGGTGACAACTTGCTATAACATAAAAAGTACAACCAGTCACTGGACTGTCATCTATTAATCCTCAAAAAATTTACATTAAACACATAAATGAATATATGTGCACATATGTGTATTGTATAACCTAATTTATCATTTTTCCATAAGTGTTCATAAAGTGTCTATAATGTGGCAGACATTCTTGCAAGCATATGAGAAAATACTGCTGTCCAACAATGTTCTTCCATTGTTATAGGTTATAACTTAATGGGGCAGGATGTAAATGAATACATAGCCATCAAAATAGTTTGTATATTGTTCCAAGCTAAGTGGAAAGTCTGTGACCATGCTGGCCCTTAATCTTTAGGGCAGTCTGTTGAGGTGAGGCTGTCAGGAGGGGATTACACTCTGATGGCTCCTCCCTCATTAATGGGATCAGGACCCTCATCTCTTAGGACTGGGCTCCAATTGTCTCTCTCCTCCTGTCATGTGAAAACTCAGTATTCACAATGATAAAGTGAATGCAAAGATAGTGACCTCAGTGTAAACCTAGCTCACTGGTCTCTAATCTGGGACTTTCAATCTCCCACACTGTGAGAAATAAATTTCACTTCTGTATCCCCAGTTACCAAGTGTGTTGTTACAGTGGCCTAGACTAAGCTAACAGTTGACTGATTTACAATAATGATAGCAAGAAGACATAATAAACAAAAGGATAGTCTGTTTGAAACTGGGCATAGAAAACTGGATTTATACATGCAAAATTGGATGCTTATCTTACACCATACACAAAAGCAACTCTAAATGTATAAGAGAACTAAATATGACTCCAGAAATCACAGGATTCATACGATTAAAATGAGGGAAAATTCCTTGACCTTGGACTTGGCAATGACGTTCTTGAAAATACACCAAATCTCAGGCTACAAAAGTAAAAATAAATAAATGCAGCTATATTAAACTAAAGTTTCTGTACATAAAAGAGGTTTAAACCATGAAAAAAACAAAAAACAAAAAAGGCAACACATGAGCTGGGACAGATGTTTATAAACCATATGTCTGATAAGAGTTAATATCCAAAATGGAGAGCATGCACATATAATTTAATTTTGGAAAATAATGTGCCAACTGAAAAGCAGAAAAAAGATAGGCACAGCTAAGTGGCAGCGAAATGTATGAAGAAAGCTCTAGATCACTGATCATCAAAGAAATCCAAACCAAAGCCATAGATATCCTCTCGCTGTAGAAGAAATTGCTGTTGTCCAAAAGACAAAAGGGTGGCGTTGGCCAGGCTGTGGACAAAGGGGAAGACATGTATGTTCTCGGTGTGTACACTGGTGCAGCTGATATTTTTTAAACATCCAATATGAATGTTCCTCAAAATATTAAGTATGATCAACATATGACCCAGTGGTCCCTCATCCTGGTATGTGCCCAGAGGAAAAGAAATCCACACTCATTAAGAAAATCTGGACTCCTGCATTCACTGCAGCATTATGAACAACAGCCGAGAGGTAGAAATGACCCCACGGTGCCCACTGACAGATGAACGATAAAGACAGTGAGTGTCCATGAAGGTCAGCCTGAGGGAAGAGCGCCTGCCATTTTCCACAATATAAATGAGGTTAGAAAGCATCTTGCACGGTGAAATTAGCCAGATGAAGGCAGGAACTCATCCCATGGCCTCATATATATGTGGAACCTAAAAGGAAAAGGAAATTGAAGGGTAGAGAATAAACAGTGACCGCTGGAGGTGCAGGCGAGGACAGAAGGAGGCAGCGGGGAGAGGTAGGCTGAAAGGCGTAGCATAGTGGGTGTGTAGGATGGGCACAGTGAAAGGTCTGCTGTGCAGCACGGAGACTAAACATCGTATCTGGGTTTTGTGCTCAGGGTGTAGATTTGTGTGTGTCTGTCCTTGACACACACAAACGGGCCACTGTGACACAATAGCTGTGTTAATCTGCTTCACTGCACTAACCATTTTATTATCTATAGGCATCAGATAATATCATGTCAGACTGTCGAGTTAAATAACCTTTAGTTTCTGCAGGCTGACCAGGCCCGCAATCTCCCAAACGAGTGGACAGCAAAGGCTTCAGTAAAATGAGACAACTGGAATGATTTTAGGGCTCCAGGAGGGGCTCACTCTCTTACAGCTTTGATATTTTCTGGATTTAGACAAAGACTTCTCTGGGTGGCCCGTATTTATTTGGTTTTCAAACAAAGGAGGGGGATACTCAAGAAAATGTGGGAATCTGAACAGGACCTTGGGAGAATTTTCCCAAGTAGTAAATTATGTCAATCAGGAGAACTACCTTATCTTTAGGTTGGCATTTATTGTAGCAGTGTGGAGCCTGCAGCTGTGGTCTCCTTGTAGTTAATAGGGGTTGGAGCCAGACGTCCTCAGCTGAGGCCTTATCTTGTCCTTTGAGGCATCACAGCTTCACAGACCAATACAGGCCTCAGCAGGGACCAGTGACTCACAGAGGTTCACTTACTATGAGTCCACTGCCCATCCCTAGACAAAGTGCCTAAGCTTTGGACAACTCACAAGTAAACATGGAAAGCCAATTGGTTAATATTAGATCCCACTCAGAGCCACTTTGTAGTGGTCTCCAACTTCATACCCTTAATATATACAGTAAATGCTGTAAAAGATGAAAGTAATGATGCCATGGTACTTGGTTTATAAATGATACATTACTCCTAAGTAAAACTTTCCACCATATTACCTCAATACTGTTATTATATTTCAAATTTTATTAATATCCTAATCTAATCTATAGTTCTTCCTAAAATTTCCTCCTACTGTTCCCAAATTATGTATAAACTTATATGTCAACAAATCATGCATGATTTATATATTATTATATACAAGTTATGCACATACAGACATTCCTCATTTAATAACAGAGTTCCATTCCTATGACCAGGTTAAATGAATTGATTGTTCAATTGTGAATTTTATGTAGTATGTACATTATGACATTTAGAATAAAGAAATGGTCAAAGGAAACTACAACTCGATGACCTTGCTTTCATTTGCATAACTTTTACACACAGTACTGAAACATATGACAGAGCATAAAACTACAATTACAGTACTCTCCAGTACAATCAGCAAAAAATACAGAACTACATAAACAAGGTGTATTGTGCCAAAAAAGACACTGAAGGTGTACAAACGAGACATGCAGAGCTGTAAAACCACAACACAGGTTATAAGTCTGAGCAGTCATTAAACAGGTAGATGTTAAATAAGGAATATCTGTATTCACATACATATATATGTGTTTTATACATATATATAAACTTGATTCACTTATATGACTTGTACATTGGACTACCGACTACAAAGACTCCTGTAACCTAGACTCTTAGGCCACATCCCACCTTGTTTCGTTTGTTTGTGTTGGTAGTTTTTTAGTATTTTCCTATTTTGAGCTCTTTTAGTACGAATCAGTTGTTTTGAAGATTGCCCTGTGTTCTAGAAATTTCTTCTTTTTTATAAATCCCGACTATTTAGTAAGAACACATTGGCAATGTTGTATACTTACTAGTCATCCATTATATCAGATAAAGAAGCAAATATTGTCAGTTCTTTCCATTTCTGGTGCTGCTTTCTTTGATCACTTGATTATGATGTTGTTATGGACTGAGTTTTAGTGTCCTCCAAAATTTGTATGTTGAAATCTTAACCCTAGGTTTACAAGTGGTAAGAGATAGTTGTGTCTTTGGGATGTAATGAGTGCCTGACAGTGGTGTTTTCATGAATGGTATCAGTGCCCTTAAAAAGAGGTCCCAGAACTCCTTTTCTCCTTTCCACCATGTGAACACACAGTGAAAAGACAGCAGTGTGTGAACCAAATGTGTCCTCTCACCAGACACGAGACTATGCCGGGGTCTTGGTTTTTAACTCCTGGCTGCCTGAACTGAGAAACACAGGAGTGTTATTTAAGTCACCATCTCTGTTACTTTTGTCACAACCATCCACAAAAACCAAGAAACTTTCTATCAGCTGCTATCATCATGAGGAAGTATTTTCAATATTGTACTAAAAGTAATCATCAGGCTGATTCTTTAAGACCATGTGACTATTATGTCCCCAAATGAGTATTCACTAAATAGTTTTAACATCTACTCAACTTGCCATTGCATTTCCTGTTCTCAGCCTACATTTATTACTCTATCACTTAGGTAAAAAAATAACAGGAACTCTGGTATCAGGATATAAATGTACATTTTAAAAAAGACATAACTGTAGCAAATTCTTAGATAAATTAATTCTGCTTATGTGTGAAAGTTTACTACTCATGAGAGTTGTCCTAGATCTTGTGTTAGCTTGAGATGCATGAC